CACAAGAAAGTTTCAAAATAAAATTTAAAATCTAGAGTTGATATAGTCTATAATTTTGAAATTCATGATCACTCTGTAAGTAGTCAAAGGCCAAAGACAAAAATCAAGAAAATTTTAAAGTTAGAATTGCTAAAACCTTCAATCATCCTAGAAACAACTAAACCTTCTCACAAAAAGGGTGGGGATCAACTACTACCTCTAATGTAATCCCTTCGAAAAAAGTCAGAGAGATCAAATAAGTTAATTTAAGTTATAATGAACTGGTTAATGTCGCTTGATGGGAGAATATAATATTGATTTGACACTGTTCATAAAAGGTGCACCGTGGGGGTGTGAATACCTTCCCTACACATAATCATACTCTTGAACTTTTGGTTCAATAGGCTAAACTTCACCTATTGCAAATAGGTCATGTGAAGGTAACCAATCACACCTTAATAAAAAAATTGGTGGCGGCTCCAAAAATTATTCAATGCCAAGAACCATGTTGAGACCCCTTGTCTACTTGAAGGGACGTTGCGACACCTGCAAACAGTTCTTTTCTCTTAAAATCAATCAAGATTTGACTTCCATATCAACTTTATTCAACGGGTCTCTTCTTTTACCATCTTAGTTGTTACCATATTGCAAGACAAGAGAATGAGCCTGGCCTTTAAACAGTTGTTATTGTGTAATTTAAATTGTATAATAATTTTTTTATTTAATACTAAGTTAAAAATTTAATATTTTTTCCTCCTAATAAACCCTAATTTTTCCACAGAAGAAGGGATATGTTCTTTACTCTTTATGAACTAGTTTTTGGTTTGACATGAATTTAGACTAAATATGTTCATACTTGGCCTCATATGTTTCTTCATTTTTACATGAACGTGGGATTTTTTCACTTAATGGCAAGTCATAAAGCAGTTTAGGAATTCAATAATTTATTTCGCTAAGTTCTGGGGGGTAAAAATAGGATGTAAGGCAACATGCACGGATGGATAATGTCATACGACTCATGCCCATATTATAAACATATCAAATTTTCTAGGATGTATCAATGCATGCATATTGAAGTTAATGCATTGTTTTTTTTCCTTTTGTTTTGGGTCTTCCAATGAGAGGGATCCGAAACTGTTAATTCTTTTTAAAGAGTAGATGGCTTAAATGTTGAAGTTTTCTATTATTTATAGATCATAAATTTCCTAAATACATTTCTTGAGTTTTGGACTCTTTTTGTATAAGAGAAAATGAATTGTGGAATCATTAGAGTGCCAACTGCCAACTGAAAATGAAACAACCTCTATGATTTTGCAGAGTCATTCTTAAAGACGAAGAGGGTAATATCCACAACCAAAAGACGTATACTGATCTGCCTCGCCAAGGGCTGCTCTGAAGAAAATACTGTGCAACTGGATGAAGCATAATATTGTTTTTTCGTCAGGGCATCGTCGTCTTTATTTCTTTTAGAAATTAATGAAAGTTCAAATTTCTTTATTTTTCTGACATTTCTGCAACCTTGTTCTCTGAATAATGTACTTAAAACTTACAATGTGGACATGAGGTCTAATCGAAAAATTAACTAGCTAAGAGGTATTATTGCATTAATGGTTTTTCTGAAGTACTGGCTGTTCTAAAGTACTGATCATAAGTATTGCCTCACCGAACAAAAATTTTAGTATTTACTAGAAGTGTACATGTTATGTTCATCTATGGTGTGGCAGGTATTTGAGCTGTTGGTGCTGGGTTAACAAAGCATGAGCGCGAAAACAAACTTCTTGATCGCCAAAATTCAGGTAGAAAATGCAATTCAGCCCCTCTACTTAACTTGTTGTGGCAGGTTAGCCCCTCTACTTGAAAGCAGTGCAGGTCAGCCCCTTTTACCATATAGAATTCAGTCATTTAGTTAACTATGACATCATAAGGCGTAACCTTTTTGTTCGCTCGCAGTATTATAAAAATAATTTTTTATATTATTTTTTAATATAATTTTTATTTATTATTAAATAAATTAATATTAATTATCAAAATA